CTTAATTAATCTTATTACACGAGTGCACTGAATATATACTTCAATAAAATGTTTCACTGTATATTTGCAATATGAGAACAGTTTTTGCGTGTAGGTGTGCTTATGCCCTCGAAGCTGCAGGCTTATGTGGATTTGAGTGGATGTATGAGTACATGTGCTTGTCAGCCTTGTCCACATACTGCAGTTTGTTCCTTGTTCAGAAAACCAAGGACAGTGTGCCCAATGCTGGATGATCACAAGCTGTTTGTGAAGATAGAGACTGATTATGATGAGCTAGCAGCACCTGCTTGAGACAGAGTGTCCTGAGGGAGTGAGCAGCTTTTCTGAGGATAGAGTTGTTCAATAATGAAGCTTTCTTACAAAAAACCCCAAAAAACTAAATGCAATGATAAACTGTCCTATGCATATCAAATTAGTTTCCTACACAGCGCATAGTGATATTACTGTCCAAGTCTAACTTTTCAGCTTTTTCTTGCACAGTGTTTACTGTGACTTGGATTGTGGTTTAGATTTGAGATATAATCAGAGGTTTTCAGGAGTGGGTTCTACAACATCGGTATTGGTGCACAATATTATACTGGAAAATATGTTGGAGGCAAATAAGGGTGCTGCACAAGATCCTATATACTACATATACTATACACTATACTACTATCATGAGGAACTGTTTGATTTGATAAAGAAAGCTATAAGATGATGACAGAGTGATTTGTCATAAAACATTTTAATGTGGAAATGTGGTATATCTAATTAAGACTACTGGAATTTTGAGGAAATATTTATAGAGAAAAGAGTTCAACAACCAGTTGGGTTGTGTTTGTAGAGTAACTAGTCCTAAATCCACCTAAAGTGAATGAGATAGTTGCTGCCTTCAGGAGAACCAGGAAAGTGACTTCTCCCCACACTATATAAATGGTGAGGGGGTAGAAAGTTTCAGTGACATCAAATACCTGGGTCACAACATCACTAAGGATTTGGCAGGGACCATTAACACCTCCCTTCTAGCAAAGAAAGCTAAGCATAGGCTTTTCTTATCGAGAAAGCTTAAAGCTTAAAAAACTGAACTCCCATCTCATATATTAGTGAATTTCTACAGGTACACAACAGAGAGCACTCTGCACTACCGTGTCGCAGTGTGGTACAGCAGCTGCACTGCAGAGACAGCACTGCTGCACTGTTAGCAACATTATCAAAGACTCAGTGCACCCTGGACACAGATCGTCCTCCTCCCATCAGGTAAAAGATACAGGATCATCAGAACATACACTAAATGAGAGAGAAATAGCTTTTTCCCCATAGTTGGGGAAGTCCTCTTCCACCCCATCCTATCGAGTGTTTTGTCTTATTGGTTAAAAGATTTAATCGATATTTTTCATTACTGGCTTGTTTATGTCCATGTCCTGTAAAACCTCCTTAATTAGCTGGCGCTGATGCTGCAAGTACGTGCTCTGGCTCCAAGTTCGTGAAGCTGGCCGTTGAGTCTCAGCACAAATGATTCCTGGAACAAAAATATGAATTTCAGTTTTACAGACTGAATTTGCTCATGTGTAGGAGTTTCCTGCTCTCCCAACTGAATGATCATTCTGCATTTATATGCTTGTTTTGTTTGTTTGTATGCAACCGCTTAACATACATTTTATGACGTGAGGGCTTTCTTTCTCTTATCCCAATCGTAATTATTACAAGAAAGCTGTCCTTTCATAAATCTTTTTTTGACTTGGGAAAATGCAATTTCATGCGAATAAACAATGAGAAAAACTGCATCAAAACAGGGGCTAAGGGGTAAAAATTGGAATATAGCATAGGTGTCTGTGATCACCTGATTCCTGGCATATCCTCCGTGGTTGTCCCATCTGTGTGATAGTTTTTTGTCTGCCCCACTCGGTCTGAGTCAGAGTGGCTGTAATACCGCTCATTTCATCTCCATAACGCTGTGGGAGACTCCAAAACTCACTGCCCACACGATAACCCTAGAGAAGTTAAAGAACAGCTTTAGAGATTTTAGTCACTGGAGAACTACCAAAAAAAAACCAACAAAAAAAACCAAACAAACCCAACAGTCTGATGGATGACTAAAGACAGAGTAGACCGGCAAAGCAAATATGTGTCATACATATCCTGAGTGGATGAGTGGCATGACTCGGTTTAGAAATTCCCTCTGCTCCTGAGTTTCTCTATAATGGTTGGCTTGATTCATTAGAAGTTTTTCGACTGGCCTATGGAACAAATCTTGACACCATTGAAAGAGAGACAAGACATTAACGCAGACTTAGGAAATTTGCATTTGCTTCTAATGAGAGATTTGTGGGTAAAGGCTCTAATAATGATGCACAGTTTATCTCTTTTCGGTGCAGGCTGTTGTAGTCTCTAATCAGCTCACCAGATAAGAAGTCCTGCTGTTGTCTTCGATGTCTCACATGTTTGTCCCAATTCTGTAAGGCATTACCCTGGATGTTTCTTTGGCTTGAAAGAGTTTCTGTTTCTACAGCATCCGAGGGACTCCTTTCTTTGGCCTCACATAGAGGATCTCCTAGGGAATTTGGTATTCGCTTCACCAGCTGGTTGGCAATGGGAAAGGTTAGTAACACAGTGAAGTCAAAGAATTACAGTTGTATTTGTTCATCTACAGAAACTGGAACATTTAAAAAATACCTCTGCCTCCCCTTTAGCCTCTAGATAACTTCTGTAATCCTCTAAGCTACCCAGGATGGTGTGTGGAAGAATCATCCCGTGCTCATCAAACCGAACCCCCATTGATCCTGAGTGGAAAGGACAGGGACAAAAAAAAGAAAAGTTGCATATCACAAACAGGATATATTTAACTTAATCTAATATCCAACATAATAATCCATTTGTCCATGAGAGCAAAAGAAAACAACTGACCTCTGAAGTCGAGAAGGTGGCAGTCAGAATCCAAATTCTCTTGCTTCCTAGCTCTCATTTCATCATCTGCTGATGTTTTACTTACACGTGCCATAAGCTCTTGTTTCTGATGGCTCTTTGGTATCTTTAGCATACAAAGCAGTAGTCATAATATACCAAGTTAAACATTTAAGTGGCATCAAGGAGAATTTAGATTAAAACAAAAGTTTTGCTAATGAACTGTTAATACTGTCTATATTGATGAAGTAAATTTACTTTATTGAGCTTCTGTGGATACATGGTAAGAGTCCCGTTGCAGCTTCTTGGTCCCTGAGAAGAGGAAATTAGAAACGAGGTGTTATGACACTGTGTTTTCTGGCTAATTTAACAGGCAAATTAAAATGTGCCATGTTTTGTTGTGATTCCACAACTGAAGGCTTTAAAATGTAAAAACAGATTGTACTTCACCGTACATAAAGTCCAATGCTCACATGTACACATGCTGATACAAAGAGTGCCTTGGAACACTGACATGGTTATGCAATACTAATTTGTCCTTATCCAACAGTTCCTTGTTATAGTTTCCATGGCCACAACAATAATTAGTTTCTGGCTTTTCTAAGTGTTTTCTTCCTTTTTTTCAATTCTTCTGATCACAGGTTCAATACAGTTTTCAAACTGCTTTTGATGAGAACCAAAAGATGGCCTTGTCCTTTGAGGAAAGAATCTGCTGCAGTGCTTTTACACATGTTTGGAAACCAAAAGTTACTGATGCTGACACATATTCTGACTGAGATTTTGTGTTTTTATCTCTCTAATTTAAAGCTTTACATGACTTTATATTGCTCCTTTGTATTAGTCTAGATCCGATTAAAATCAAGTACACAAATATAAGACATAATAAAGAAATACTATGGTTTATGTTTATCCTGGCTGAAATCTCACTGGTAAATCACAACCTTACCAACAAAAGGGGAAAAAACAGGTCGAAAAAAGTTAACAGACAGTTGAGAATTATTTATGTGTATTTAATTGTAATCCTAGTTTAGTTCGGATCTGCTCTCTATGTGTCGAAGCTAGGTTTTTTTTGATTTTACAGAACTGCACAGGAATGCAGGGGAGACGTGTGCGAGAACAACAGTAAACTATTTCATTGACTTTGTTTATCTGTATTATTTTTACAAAAGTAAAACGTCTACGTATTTCCTCCGCCACAGTACAGAAAGGTACATGTAGCTACATACGATAAACTATCCACAATCACCAGTGAAACCACTGACAGGTGGAGAAGTCAAACAGCGACACAAATTTAGCTTGACATAATAGAAAAGAGGAAGAAGCAGAAAGAGGTGAATGACTGATACAGAGGGGTTGTAGGTCACCCGAATAACTTCAAGTTCTTAACTCTTTCTTCGGTAACTTACCGCAGCTCATTTCCCCTTTTATACAGTAGCGCTAGAGAGGCAATGTAGCATTAGCAAAGCTAAAGCTCCAGTTTGCTGTACAGTAACCATGGCAACAGACGCCCTAACTTACGTTGCGCAACGAGTCGCTACACAGACACGAGAAAGCAAACTATTAGAGTTATATTTAATATTAGTGGAGGGAATAAAAGTTTTTTTTCCCTTTATCTTACTATATTATTTACTGATCTATTCAGATTTTTTTAAAAAAAGTTTAACCTACGTATTGATTTTAATTTCCTCTACACCTTTTATTGTATTCCTATTCCTTATTTTTATTTAACTATATTTTGTGTTTTAATTAATTAAAATATTAATTGATTTAATTGAAAATGTAATTAATTAAAATCAAATCACTGCACTGCTCTATTAGCAGCAAACAACACAAATTAGCTGCTAATTAACTCTGTCATATTGTTGCTGCACTTTCTTTTCTTTTCTTTTCTTTTCTTTCTCTTTGGTAGTCTCCCATATCATGTAGAAAAGACTAATGCATTAAGTAGGTCGAGTTTTCTCTGCTTGGTTGCACATCCTATTTCATCTTCTTCTTTCTAAACAAGGTGTTCTCTTGGAGAACACAACGAGCGTTCCTGTCAATCAGCATGACGTCATCAAACCACGGGGCTGTGATATCTATATAAAGACAAGTGACATCAGCCGCCCAACCAAACACACACTTGAGCAGCTCCATAAAACGGCAGATCGTTGATTCTATCTAGCTGCAACAGCGCGGAGTCAGCGTCCGGAACCATCCTAAAAAGATGGAAATAGGTAGCATCTCTACCGGCACATCACCCACCCCCGTCACAGTTTCCCACCAGATCAAACGCTCTACAAGAGAAAACCCTCAGTTTCGTGGTAATATGGAAGGGCAGTGCGCTGGTTCATCAAAAGTTTTACTGGCTTACAAAAACGCATCGCAGCACTTGAATTCGTCTGGAATCAAAGCGGGCTTGGGCATACTTAAAGTCGCTACCTCCCAATGGAAACAGGAAAAAAAGACGCTTTCGGGAGCAGCAGTAAGGCAAATGTCCGCTGCCAACAACAGCCACCCTTGCAAGAGATCCCCACTTGATCAGCTGGCAGCTCTGGTTCTCCATGGTCAAACCCGGCATCGCCAGATTAGTCAGGGGCACCCACAAGATCCTCTTTACTTCACCAAGCCACAGAACTCTAAGCGCATCGTAGTTCTTGGTGCTCCACGGGTCGGAAAGACCTCAATCCTAAGAAGATACATGATAGACGGGTTTGTGGAGGAGTACAAGCCCACTTCCGAGGATTTCCTAAGGAAACTGTTTCGTATCCGTGGGGAGACCTACCAAATTGACATCCTGGATGCATCCCGGGAACGGGACTTCCCAGCCAAGCGGCGGCTGTCTATCCTCACTGGTATGTATTTTCTCGGTTATAATCTCTGTTCTGCTAAAAATAAACAATTAAAAAAATGTCTGTATGTGTTTGTTGAATAAGAATAAAGATTTTGGATGTGAAACTGTATGCGCAATGTGTAAAAACTCTGTCTTAAAAAAAACTTGTGTTTTGTTTTTCTTCTATAGGGGACATTTTTCTTCTAGTATTCAGTTTAGATGATCGGAGCTCTTTCGAAGAGGTGTGCGCACTGCGAAAGGAAATTCTGGCTGCTAAATCCAAGCTCATCAGATCCACTGTGCCAGATCATTGCGCACAGCCACAGGTTCCTCTGGTGGTCTGCGCCAACAAGGTGGATCTCCAGGAATCCGAGAGAGAAATAACTAAGGCAGAGGTTCTCCAAGCCCTCGGGGATGACTGCGCCTATTTTGAAACGTCCGCTAAGGAGAGCACTAATCTCGAACAAGTATTCGAGACTTTGGCAAAGCGAGGTGGGCTTCCGACCGAAACTGGCCCGTCGCAACACCGCAAAGTCTCTCTCCGCTCATATCAGGCAATGCGGAGCGGCCGTGTAGCGGGGAGGGGGAAGCAGGTCTCTGATAGAGATGTTCCCTGCGGCACACTGTACCCACTGGCCCGGCGACCGAGTTTTACCACTGACCTTCGTCAGGTTATTGGACCACATACGACAAGGAAGCCCGGCAAAGGACTGGAGAAATGTTATATTCAGTGAGAGACACAAACTATGAGAAGAAACACAGAGCGAATAACACAGTTCATAAAGCACCGATATTTATTTAAAAATAATAATAATGCCTTATTGTGCGTTTACATGTACTTGAAATGTTTTTGAAATAAAATATTTTTTTTAATATTATAGTGTGTTCTTTTTTTCTTTCTGAGTATGGACAAAGTAGGAGGAGGTTGAGTCAGTACCTTGACTATTTGATTATTGTATGACTATTGCATAACCTATATTCAGAAATCTATTAGATGGCAACTCTTTTTCCTCACCCACGCTTGTTTTCGCTTCCTGTGAGTCTCTGTGTGTGTAATACTGGATTCGTGATTGCCAGCAGTCCACAATCTGAATCCCACACATCCCAAACAACCAGCTTAAAGGTTTCCAGTTGGCATACACTTTCCTCATCCTACATCATACCCTATAAATTATTCCTAATATAAGCCTACCACTCAAGGGCTTCTATGAACTCAACTATTTAGCTTTCACTTGCATGGTTGTTCTTCATTTTTTATATTTTGAAGCTGAAGAAGTCTCCCTTCAAACAACAGGCTTTGAGTCACAGATTCCAAGTGTTTTTTTAAAGAAGCAATATATGACACATTTTGCTAGCTTGATGCCAATAAGAAAGCAACCTTGCAAAGATTTATCTCTGGGTGCTTTATGTGTGCACTCGGAGAAGGCTTTTCACTTCTCATGCCGGAAATATGTGTTTCCATGGGCACTGCTTTTGAATTTATTGAGCTGCAACTAACAGATGACTCAGGTTTTACATTCAGGTGATCCTAACCTTGCAGGGGTTTATTTTCCTGTGTGCTCATTTGTAACAAGAAAAATAAAATACTGCTTTTCATGTCCATTGATAAAAGCATTAATAACACCCTTCCAACAACATCATGTAAAAATAGTGATTGAAATGTGAACTCTCAAACTTCTTTTAATCTTGATAATCACACTAATGTTCTGTATGCGGTTTTCTCAACAACAAAAAAAAAGAAAAAAAGAAAAAGAAAATTGGGCTCCATTCTAAAATTCGTGTTGTGAGTGTGTGAGTCATGATGCCTGAAAGCCTCAGAACAATGTCTGAACCAAAGAGAGACAGACAGTTAGACACATCTGGGAGAAACACATACAGAACAGATAAAGAGAACCAGGTTATTATGGGCTAAAATGTTGATTCAGTGGGTTAATGAAATGCATAATCAAGTGACAAAAAGTTTTATTGCAATGTATTCAAGCATATTGCGTTCCCCCCATCCACATTTTATTCACAACAGTGCATAGAAAACAGATCATATGTTTCCAGCTGGTGAATGTTATGGTCTGCAGGTAGGCCTGTTCAGAACTCGGACTCTTCTAATACAAACCCATACTGTTGTAACAGAGGCAGTATGGTTTGGCGGTCTTGCTAAAATATAAATGGCTTTTCCTGAAAAAGATGTCATCTAGATGTGAGCATATGTTGCTCTAAAACCTGCAAATACCTTTCAGCACCTTTCATTCTAGATGTATGAATGACCAATATTACATTAATGCCCCCCCCATAAATTTAGAGATGAATTTCAAATTTTGATGCATATGACCAATTTGCCTCATCTTCCACTTTGCCTCAGTCCATTTAAAATTAGCTTTGGCCGTGAGAGACTGCGGCATTCTGAATCAGATTCACATGTTGCTTCTTCTTTACACAATTAAAGCTTTACCCTGTATTTGTGGATGGCACGTCAAACTGTCTTCACAGATGATGAAAGTGCTGCTGAGACCATACAGCAATTACCATGACAGAATCATGCCTGTTTTTACTACAGTTTTAACCGAGGGAGTGAAGATCACAGGTATCCAACAGTGATTTATGGTCTTGTCCTTAGCGCACAGAGATTTCTCCAGATTCTGAGAATCTATATCTGAGAATTTGATGACATCATGTATTGTAGATGATTCAATACTGAAAGAAAGATATTAAAAGTCTTCACAATGTTACATTAAGGAAATTGTTTCACAATTTATAAACACAAATTGATGAACCACTACTCATCTTTACTTCTGTAAAACTGCCTCTTCAGTCTCCAACCTTTTCTTGACCCTCCCAATTTTTTTGTCTAAAATGTCCAAAATGACCTAATATTTCCAGGCAATAATAAAATGTCTCAGTTTAATCATTTAATATGTTTTACTGTGAGTAAAATGTAGGTTTATGAGACATGCATGTCGTCATTTTCACAGCTTATGAAGCTGCAAGTTAAATTCTTTAACTGCTTGTTGAAAGGTACTACCACCAGAGAATAGTGTATCATTTTCATCATCATTTCATAAAAAGTATATTTATAAATGACTGTTTGCTTAAGACCTGACTCCTGTTTTTATTTATTTTTGTTTGTTCTTTTATTTTGCAGTTGTGAGGCTGTGGCTCAGGAGATAAAGCTGGTTGTATTGCACTGAATAGTTGGAGCCCCTGCTTTTCCAACCCACGTGTCAAAGTGTCCTTGGGCAAGATGACAGGTAAAAAGCGTAGGATAAAGCGCTGTGTGACTGGGTGGATGGAGGTTGTAGTCTAAACCTGCAGTCCACCTTTCATTTTATTTATTTTGTACAGAGGTAAACATTTACTACCTGAAATTCTCATTATATTTTTTAATGACGTTTCTCTGACTTCTGATCTAAGTGGCCATCATTGCCCCTACACTCCTTTACTGCTAAACTGATAAGTAGTCAATGTAGATTATGTATTATGACTGCAGGACAAGATAATCCAATAGCTCCACATGTTAATTCGCCTGGATTAGGCCATGGTTATCTATCTACACACACACACACACACACACACACAATATACTACACTACAGGAGATGACAACATCAACATCAAGAAGTTAACAAAAAAGTGAATCATCAGTGAAAAAAATACATTGATCACAAACTCAACATTACACTATTCAACACACAATTCAAAATATCACTAGTATTTCTGCACAAGGTATATGACAGAAAATACCGTAAGCCTAATGTTTACATAAAGTTACATCATATATATAATAGGGGAAAAACTCTTGTCTTGTCTGTTGTTAGGAGTTGGTAAAATGTATGTGCCTTGAAAGACAACCAACATCATGATCAACTCAAATGAAATTACTTTTATGTTCAGAAATTTTAAATCTCAGTTTCTCTGCATATGCTAAACCACATGGGCATTTCAAAGATAGACTGATATACTGATAATAAAAATCTTATCTTTTACTTTTGCAAGAATATCTTTGAGAGCATGTAACACCAGTGAATCAGTGAAATAAACATTTTGTGAAAAGAAATGCATTATATAGAAATGTTTAAACTAATCTTTCATTAACATTGATTGATTGCTTCTAATGTCAGGTTGTGTTTTTGCAGTGAAGCAGTCACGTGCTGTGAACTTCATATTGCAAGAAACTCTGGCAATTTTCACTCCTGCTTGGGTCCCAGTGACTTTACTGCACGTGGAGTGATACTTTTTTGTTGTTGTATAGCCATCATTACACACATAAAGACATGCACACACACAAACACTTATCTGAACAGATGCTCCTGTCCCTACACGTGAGGAGCATTGACATATGTTCCTGTTGTTCTCTCTGTTCTCTGACACACACATAGACATACAAATGGGCACACACACACACATAAGTTAACTGCTTGCTTAAGTGCATGGACTGCTGAAACGTGATGCTGTTTTTCTACTCAGCCTTGTCCTCCACATTTCTTATTCTACTCAGGGCAGC